ACACAACCAACACATGGCTCTCATTAATCAAACCATTGGATTAACTCCTAATCAATCAATACATACCTGTTTTATATACATGTTATGTCTGTTTAACTGCTAATTAACGGCAATGTCTTCGGCGTGTCGTCAATGGATGTCTTCAATGGACACCAATTATGAAGCAATGCTTTGATTGGATGGCGAAAACCAATTGTCAAAACACTTCAAACATCACATCATTTAGTAATTGGTGTCACTTTTGTAATACATTTCTCGCAATTAATTGTATTTGTATTACAAATACAAACGTATTATAAATTCAATAAACAAATTGTGAATAAAATATTCGCTTAAAATCTAAACTTAAATAAAACTTTTAATAAACAAATCATTTATTTTGTTGTGCTTTCGATACGAATAGTAAATACAAAATGTTTTTTACAATTTCTAACCAGAAATTGTGTTTACATTCAAAATGGCTTTGTTTGGCCGGCAGTTCACGACAGCGATAACGGCGTAACTCATATGAAGGTCATGCTATGTATTGGCAATTTCTAAATTGCCCATTGTTGGCCATATAATTTTCTTATACATAGTTTGGGCCACAGTATGAGATACGCCCCAATGCTGTGCATTGGCACTCATTTGGTTCAACAATGAATGACGTCCTGAATGTGTATAACAATTGGCGCCAATATTTCTATAGTTGTGTTTATATAGCAATCGATAGGTTTATCATTAAAATGATGCCCTTTTTGCTCACTTAACACACCCTTCAATAGGCATATAATTACCCAAAAAGGCTTTCATTGCTAATTGCACTCAATTTAGCCATAATTTAGAGGCGTTTTGATTGATTTAAGCCTTAAATCGGACACCAATTAAACACATTGTTATACATTTTCAGTCAATTAGTAAAAAAGAAAAACAAAATTTATTCAATCTTTTAAATTGTTTTATAAATTAAATTTGTTTAGAAATTTTGTCCCAAAAAATGTAAAAACTATTCACTAAATGGATGCCATTTTTTGGATCTTAAAAATATTGAGACAATCGATGGATCAATTGGCAGAATCCACTGGCGTTGGCGTATAGTTTTGGTGAATCATCTCCTCTTTGTTGATCAGATGATTGGTTTTGCCGACCAATTGCATCAATGAGTTCAGGTCTCGGGACCAGTCGTTCAGCACTTGGTTCGGGTCCTTCTGGGCGGCGAAGTTCACGACAGACACCGATCGGTCCACTTTTGCCCAAATGGTTTTGCTCACCACTAATGTACTCAACGCGTCCTCAGTCTCCTAAATAATATACAGACAAAAATCATTGTTATAATCATTGACTATGACTTATATCTCGCGAATACCTTTATAGTCAGTCCAAGAAGTTCTGCCATTCGCTGTAATCGCAAACGACTGTAATATTTAGACATAACTCTAATGTTCTGCAAAAAAGTAATCGATGGTTAAGACAATAAAAACCACATAATAATTAGAATCCGCTCACATGTTCGACCACTCGGTTCTTCAAGTCAGTCCACCGTTTATTGCCGGCCTCTGTCTTATCAAACACACCGGTTGTCTGCGCCTCGAGGTCTGGGCCACCGGTTCGGAGCAGTTCGATGAGCGGCGCTTCGATTCCGCGCCAATCAATGAGTTCCCATTTGGTGAACAGTTTCAGTATATTGAGAAAGCGGGGAATGTCTTGCAATACCTTCTCGCTCTTCACGCGATTGATCAGATCGTTCTGCAGGTTATCGAACGGCGCGAGTATTATATAAACCACACACTTCTTCATGATATTAGTCCGCTTATCGACGTTCTCCTGAACCGCCGGTGAGTTAAATATCGCCAAATAGTGCTTACAAATGGACAGATAGGAGCTCTCGTTCTGATCCAACTCTATCATCAACTCGTAGTACTTGAACTTCAACTCCTGTACCGTCGGGTCCTCGAAATACTTGGTCTGAATCTTTTTGCTGATGATCTGTGTCCGCACGAAGTCCTTCTTCGCCAGACAGAAGCGCATCTGTTCTAATATAAGCTCCACTTTCTCTTTCTTCTCCATTGAGCCGAACGTTTCCACCTGTAGTTCCTGAAGAATATCAGCCGCCTCTTCCATCCGTCCCTCGTTCTCCTTCATGAGCGCCAACTTCAGCGTCAGTCGTGCCCTCTCGACCTCCACGTAGATCTACAATCAAAGACAAGCCATTCATGAGTGTCTCGTTCGACAATCCATGCGATATTGACTACCTTTCCGGCGGTGACTGTCCTCAAAGTGTCGATATATTCCAATTGGATCTTCTTGTCGTCAATGGTGTCCACATAACTACAACACTCTTCGATCATTTTAGTGATCGATTGCTTGATCTGAGACCTCCTTTTGCTCAACAACACTATGTTGTCGTTCAATAGCTTCCAGTTCTTGGCCTCAAAGCATAGTTTAACGATAGCCACCAATACTCTTGAGGTCGAGTGTGTGTCCGAACCCTAACCGATATCACCAATTCATTAGAGATAATGGTCTGTCAAACAGCACGAAGAGAAGTCACTTACAGTTCGGGTCTGTTTCTCGAGCGCCAGCAACACATCCAACGCTTCCGACAGTTTGCCCTCCTTTTGGACACAACGGGGAAGAAGAAAGAGATATCAATTAACAAGAGATCCATGAATGAGATGGTATGAGACAATAGGCGAAGACAATAGTGAATACAAACTTTGGCCAATTTCTGACACAGAGGTATCTTCTCGTCCACAGTATTACTGTAGTCCACTTCCATCTTCACAAGCCTTCCTCCATCATAGACCACATCCGCGGACATCGTTTCGCCGTTTGCTTTAAGTCCTGGACTTTAATTGTATAATAAATTCAATGAATTTTAATCACTGAATGAATGAATCGATGATTTGATAGAAAAGTCTATATTGTGTGCAAAATGTGATCAAAAAATACTGCAAATCATTGTATGGCTAGAGAGCGACGCCTGACGGACACGAGTCGTCTCTTTTGACACTTTTCATAAAAACTTTATAACTTTTGTTTCAAACTTTTTTGTAACTTATATTCTGTGCACAGAATCTGGAATTTAATTGTAGTTTTCTAGCAATTGATTAATAATGAGAACGTGATTATAATCAACGGTTAAATCTTAAAACTATAATACATTTTCAAATTTAAACTTTATTTCGTTTAGTATTGAATTAAATAATATTAGATTTCAATTAGAAATATGGGATCCGATTGCTTGAGGAATATCTATTTTGTGACAATTATTGTGACATTCAATGCGATCACTTGTGATCCAATTCCCGTATTTTGCGAGTCAACACGTTTTGACTCTGTGTTTAACTACGGATGGAAAGTGCAAATCAAACTAAAGCCTTGGATCTGGACTTACGATAAGGTGTTGTTCAAAGTGAGGGAACCGCCGGATCCTGGACTTTAATTGTATAATAAATTCAATGAATTTTAATCACTGAATGAATGAATCGATGATTTGATAGAAAAGTCTATATTGTGTGCAAAATGTGATCAAAAAATACTGCAAATCATTGTATGGTTAGAGAGCGACGCCTGACGGACACGAGTCGTCTCTTTTGACACTTTGAATAAAAACTTTATAACTTTTGTTTCAAACTTTTTTGTAACTTATATTCTGTGCACAGAATCTGTAATTTAATTGTAGTTTTATAGCAATTGATTACTGATTACTAATGAGAGCGCGATTATAATCAACGGTTAAATCTTAAAACTATAATACATTTTCAAATTTAAACTTTGTTTCGTTTAGTATTGAATCAAATATTAGATTTCAATTAGAAATATGGGATCCGATTGCTTGAGGAATATCTATTTTGTGACAATTATTGTGACATTAAATGCGATCACTTGTGATCCGATTCCCGTATTTTGCGAGTCAACACGTTTTGACTCTGTGTTTAACTACGGATGGAAAGTGCAAATCAAACTAAAGCCTTGGATCTGGACTTACGATAAGGTGTTGTTCAAAGTGAGGGAACCGCCGGAGAAAGAGTACCCTTTCTTGAGTGGAAGAAGTTTGTATTCAAAGTACTTATTAATCGTTCAAAAGTCTATTAATTACTGAATCAATTCATTAGACTCGACACTGATGTCAAGCGTTTTCATAGACAGAGTGCCCGCGTGTCCGCCCAACAGCTCTCCCGAGAATTGCCAGCAATTGACTATCGCTAATGAGTTGTTCATAATGAGACTCATGGACACAGACACCACACAAGAGTCCACTGTTATCTACAGACCCAACAAACTGAACCAATTAGACATTGTTTGGCCCAAAGACTATCCCTGGAATATGACGGCCACTGACTTCTGGCCCCAAGAGTGGGATCACATGCCTCTCAGCGAACGGCCGGCCGTTTATTACGCAAAGACCTACGAAATGATGTATATTATAAAGAGTGGTCTACAAGACGCGGAACTGCTCTTCAATCCGATTTCATCGGTAAACTGGTATAAGAAGTTCCAAAGATCTAAACTCAACACAACCGTCCGTTTTATCGGAATGTTTACTATCGATAACAGAGTGATTGCCGTCGGTATCGATCCTAAAGATACGACCAATGAGTACCGCATTTACGAACTCAATGGCGATCAAAGACAATACGCTTTCAAACCATCAGTAATTTTATTTAAGACAAAGGTTTAAACAATTAATGTAATGATTATTGAATTCCTATCAAAAGCCATACACTTTGAAGACATTTCTCGGTTGTGTGCCTAACGTTGCGAATCCACCGCCGGATACAAACACTGTAACCAATACTATGGCTACAATCGGTTCCAGTTCTTCATCAGTGTCTCCGCAACTAAACAGTGTACCGGAAAGCGAAGGAAAGACGAGTTCGACGACTATTGTAATAGTGGTGACCGTAATCTTGATTGTGGTAATAGTGTTGTGCGCCGTTATATACTTCTACATCCGACGCAATGGTAATTATAACTCATGAGTTAAACAGCGTTTTTCACAATACTTTGAATTAATTGAACAAATGCTGACTATTTAGCGAACACTGAAACCATTGCTCAGCGAAAAAAGATGTCTGAAAAGGAAAGCAAAGCCACCGATACTGAGACCAGATTGATGTCCATCGAGACCATCAACTCTTCCACTGGATTTAAAGACAAATAATTTCATTTCTATTTAATCTGCAATTAAAATGCAATTTATTTATTAGTATTTCTGTTTTTAAAAAAACATTGAATAAAATGTTGATAAATAGTTAGCCTCAATATGTTTGATGGCAAAACCTATTCGGCAATTCTTGTGCCACAACTATAGTCATGCGATCACTAAAAGGATTGTTCGCTATCTGTATCCCAATAGCAGACCATCTTTATTGAGACCCAATGGACAGGTAGTGAGTGTACGACTAATAAGTTATTAGTAATAATCAGTGATTATCAATATTTGACTTAAATTTGTTAATAAATTATTACTACAAATATTTATTTTAATTGCCGTAACTTTTATTTAATTTCAAATCAATTATTTTCTTTATTACAAAAACGAATACAGTTTTGATTATAAATTGAAATTTCTATTCGTATTACAGTATTGAGACGTTTCTCGCATTTATTGCAAACAAATTGTTGTTGAATTTATTTCATATCAAGTCTTGGTTTCAATGATTTAAACCATTGTTTGGTATAATTAGTGTCAAACAAATTACAGCGCGTTTTACTAAATGTATTGTTTTAGACATTTGTCTATAAATAGCGATTACTTTTGAATTTGAATTCATTTCGAAACCGTTTCTTCACTTGAATTGCAAACAAAATTCTTGAATCAAAAGTCAATCGAAACATGAATTCCGTTGAAACTGAAGAGACGACAGAACTGTTGCCGAGACTGAGGTCTGGAGGAGAGGTTCAGGAGTCGAGGCGTCGCCGAAGAAGGAAATCCAAAGGCGGAGACGAGTCGTGCGGTCGGAGACGTCGCCGAAGACGCG